GCTTATCGTCAACAACCTCTAGCTACGAAAATGTGTAAACAAAAGAGTATTATAACCCCTGTATATTTATTTATATTCCGCGTTTCCCGTGAACATTCCGAACATTTCTGATGATATTTTTATGATAATTTACAAAATATTCCATGGTATAACATAATGCAGTAAAAATTTTATTCAGAAATGTTACGGAAGTTTTAACCGATTGATGCACTAGATATCATAAACAATTAGTGCTTGTAAAAAAAAAAACATAAAAAATAAAAAATTTCTTATTAAACAGTAAAGTTTTTTGTTGTGATTTTGTCTTTATAGCATTTCGTTTATTGAATTACATGAGATTAGATTATGTTGTTTTATAATTTACAATTTCGTTACTTCTATAGAATATAGTATATAGGGCCATACAAAGTTAATTTTTGGGTTCTATGACCCGGCAACCCGGCTTTTATTTTTATATATATAATTTTTTTTGCGGTTTTCTAAAAAGGCCCACCCGGTTAGCAAGTATAATAACAAAAATTTTTTTGAAGTTTAGCAAATTTGGCCCGGCCGGGTTATGAGAAACAATTTATTAAATTTGTATAGCCTAATATAATGTATCGAATTTATAATATTTAAACTAAAATCTCCACAATAGTAGACTCCATCATGTACTATACCGGGCGCGAACCAAGATATTTACATCAATAAATGCAGTTTTTTTTCAAAGATCTAGACTACCTATTATATAAACACTCAGCTATATATTAGATCCGGAATCTATTATCAGTTATAGGTTTTAAAATTGGGTAAAAGACCTACGTACGTACGTACGTAGGTCTTGTATAGAGATGGAACTTTTTATCTGAACGATCAGTATAATCCGAATTATTCGGATAGAGTCTGATCTGGTTATCCGTAATGCAATATATAATCATGCTTTACAGTCTCCATTTGCTGATTGAGTTTTAATTCGAATTTATGCAAGATAAAAAACCATGATCACTAGTATTCGCATGACGATAATTCAATATTATCCGAATATTTGTCGGGTTAGCCAAGAACGGATGATGGACTCCGTTTTATCCGAACGGATACCACCTCCAGTCCCATATACGGTGATTTATGGATGATGATGACGCATACCAATTATCGTTATGACGCATTTGCGATGTCTTATGATCCAGAATTGGATGATTTTATCATCAGTCGAGACGAGAGAATCTAATGACGCGTTTTGATCACTGGATTGTGAGATTTATTATTTAAATAAATTTTAAGTATGCTAGCAAAGAGTAATCGTAACACATTAAAAGCAATTTTTATTAAGGAGATTGTTTAACTTGTGTAAAGTAATAAATCATATACACTCTTTAAATGTTTATAATTTTTTAATGGATGTATTAGTTCAGAAATCGTACGTACGTACCTGGTTAACCGACGGATAGTACCCTAGCCATGGCAGACTTTTACATTCTGATTAGGCGAAATTAATAATCAAAACAATGCTTTTTTTTCGGCAAACAGCTACATAAAATCATTACTTCAATTCTACATATCTGTACAATTAAAATACTTTATTAATTTTTGGATAGACGGTTGTCGAAAGCTGCGGCAAAGCCTTTTCTAAACTTTGAACGAAAATATCTCGACGATCACTTATCTAAAATCGACGGAAATTTTTATTTCGATTCTATGTGCCTGTATAATTAAAATAAAAAAATTTATTTGAATTAATGTCGAGATATTTTCTCAACGTTTAGAAAAAACTTGGATAACTATCAAAACAAAAAGCTATGGCAAAGCCTTTTTTTTAAATTTTGAGCTAATATATCTTGATAACAACCTATTTAAAATCGATGAATATTTTTTTATTTCGATTCTATATGCCTGTATAATTAAGACAAAAAAAAATATATCGTCGCGCTGAAACTTGAAACGGCTGAAGCTTGAAATTAGGAACCTCGATTTAAAAATATAAACCCTATCAAAATCCACTTATACATTTTTAATATCAAAATTAATACTAAATTCTAAGCTAACTATAAAAAAATGCATCTTAAAATTTTTGAAAATTTCATATTAAAGTATTTAATTTCAGCTATTTCAAGTTTTAGCTATAACATATATTAATTTTGAATAGATAGTTGTTGAAATATTTTTGTTTAAAGAAACCTTAATAATTATTAAAACAAGTTATAACAAATTTTTTTTAAATTTTTTTTTTTTTTACTTTAGCAATCCTTTCTTTATTTTATTTATTGGAAGTAGATTACAAATATGCTCTTAGCTAGCTAGGCTTACATGCAAATTGTTAATATTACTATATTCCTGTCCAAATAAAGAATCTCTCGATCTGTCTCATTATCGCAATAAAACCACAGCTGAAGCCCAGAATTTTATGCTAGAGTATGACCCAGGAGTGACCTGCCTAAGTGACAATTTTCTTCCATCCGAGATCCTCAACTTACGAGGATATAAGCCCCGGACTTCATCAGATGGAAGCACTGACCTTGTCAGAATCACCACTCTACAATAGAGTATTGCCAATTTGATGACACTTTCTCGTAGAGAAGTAAAAAAGAAAAAAAAGAAGTGAGAGTAAAATGAAAATAGAAAAAGTAAAAAAAAACTAAAATATAAATAAATATACAGGGGTTATAATACTCTTTTGTTTACACATTTTCGTAGCTAGAGGTTGTTGACGATAAGC